GACATTCCTAGACTTAAAAGACTGATGATGCTGTTCGTTTTCCCATGGGGGCATGGATCCAAAGTGGAAGAGGACAAGGGTGAGAAGTTACTCGTCATGCAGTGCAAGTTTCTTCAGAATGATGCAGTGTGCACAATTTTGTTTGTAACAGATGATTGATGTAGGGTGTACACGAAATCTCTAAAGCAGGCATTTGAATCATAGTTAGGAACATGGTCCAGCATCCTGTTTCTAATGGTGGCCACCAGCCAGGAATCTGGCAAGCAAAGCATGAAGGCAATCTCCTTCCTTCTCTATTTGGCACCTGACAACTGGCATTCATGGCTATCTTGGCTGTGAGTTCTGGGAGACCTGCTCCCTGCTTTTCTGGCCTTTTCCTTCTTGGCCATGGAGGGTGTGGCCCTGATTGACTCCAACTACACAAGCCAAGGCTGTTGAAGAGGCCAGATACCATCTTTGTTGTCTCTTAGTGGAGACCCAGGTCATCAAGCCTGAGCTTCCACAGCCATCCCCACCATGAACTGGTATTGGCAGGATTGGCCGCAACAGCAGCAAATATGTTCTACACTTATGACAGTGTATTATTCTCTTGCTAACTATGTTGTTTTAAATGTGCATTTCATATTTGATTTCCTTTAGTAACGTTTTCTTTTTAAATGTTGAAGATAATTTGTTTTAGTTAACTTTGCTGCATTAAATACAGTGGTGCCTCGCAAGACGAAATTAATCCGTTCCGCGAGTCTCTTCGTCTTGCGGTTTTTCCGTCTTGCGAAGCACGGCTATTAGCGGCTTAGCGGCTATTAGCGGCTTAGCGGCTATTAACGGCTTAGCGGCTTTAAGAAAAAGGAAACAAATTCGCAAGAACTCGCAAGACGTTTCGTCTTGCGAAGCAAGCCCATAGGGAAATTCGTCTTGCGGAACGACTCAAAAAATGGAAAACCCTTTCGTCTAGCGAGTTTTTCGTCTTGCGAGGCATTCATCTTGCGGGGCACCACTGTATGCATTCCGTAGTTGACCTTTGTAATATTTAATTTTGAAATCTTCAAGGTAATCCTTTAGTTTCCTATTAATTGTGTTGGTTTGAATGTATACTTTATATTTAACTTTCTTCATTAATGTTTTACTCTGGATTGTTTTATTTGATGCTTTAATGTAGGTTGTTAACCGCTTTGAGATTTTTCTTTTTAAAAAATAAATCAGTAAAGGAATGCAAACAACAACAACTGCCTCTGAATGTGGAGGTACTACTTAGATACCCTTCTCAATGTGTTATATTTCATTCTAATCATCTGGTGAATGAGCTGTGCCAGGTTTCTAGGAACAGACACCATCTTGAAGAAACACATTCTTGAGCTGCTGATCACCACTGACCCCAAAATGACCATAGGGTGTAATTCACCATCATGCTATTATGATTGGTCTGTCAGTGCAAGCATTTCTGGTTGTCAGATGAAATGATCTTCTGCCACCTCCAAGAGCTTCATGACCCCCAAGAGCTAATATGGGAGAGAAGCTGGGGGGGGGGGGCTATTGTGCTAGTGGGACTCGATATGCTGGCTCCTGCTGGTGCAACTGTTTCAGGGATGCCCAAACTTTTTTCAAAGAGAGCCAGATTTGATGACGTGAACATGTCTGAGTTGTTGAGCTTCTTTTAGGATTGAAGTTGTTCAGGTTTTTGTTTTTGTTTTTTTGGATTTTACACCCCGAAACAGACTTTGGATATGCCTGGTTTAGTTGAATCTGTCCTGTGGAATCCATGTCCCTTTGCTAATAGGAGCATATTCACCCAGTGCTTTTCAAGCTGCACTGGCTCCCGGTGGAGTACAGGGTCAGATTTAAGGTGCTGCTTTTGACCTTTAAAGCCCTTCATGGCCTAGGACCCTCGTACCTACGGGACCGCCTCTCCTGGTATGCCCCACGGAGAGCCTCAAGGTCCATAAATAACAACACCCTAGTGGTCCCAGGCCCTAAGGAAGTTAGATTGGCTTCAACCAGAGCCAGGGCCTTTTCAACTCTGGCTCCAGCCTGGTGGAACGCTCTGTCTCATGAGACCAGGGCCCTGCAGGATCTGATTTCTTTCCGCAGGGCCTGTAAGACAGAGTTGTTCCGCCTGGCCTTTGGCTTGGAGCCAATTTGATTCCCTCCCTCCCCCCTCTCTTTCTTTTTTCTTTTCCTTCTGCTCCTGCAATGAGGCTACATTTTAATATTTTAATGTTCCATTATTTTAATGTTGTATTTTATTTTTGTTTTTAAGTTGTAATCATTCTTCTTGTTTTTATTATTGCTTGTAAGCCGCTCTGAGCCCGGCCTTGGCTGGGGAGCGCGGGGTATAAATAAAATTTTTTTATTATGATTATTATGATTATTATTATTATTAGGGCTAGAAAAAGGGGGGGGCGGTACTCTGCTAATGCATCCCATCAGTGCAGGATTTCTGCTTGTCCAAATAGACTTTTTCCCTTCTCTTCCCCCTGCACATCTCCTTGCCCTCCCAAAATCTGCTCCAGAGGGTTGAGGGAGCCCCTAGAATAGATTTAAGGGAGGGAGAAGAGAGGGGAAATATTTTGTTATGCAAGCAGAAATCCTTGCATTAGCACTACATTGGTTGCCTTAGCACTACATTGAATTCTACCCTATAATTCTAAACTTATGCCAGCAATGTATGCCACTGTGTTTCATGCACAAAAATGACAAGGGACAAATCTGCCACTTGTAACTGCCTGCTGGTGTGCTGCTGTTATTTAAACTTAATTTTAGGAAGGCGCTGCAGCTTGCCATTACAGCTTGCAGGCTTGAAGAACACAACATTCCCCTCTTGAGATATTGTGGTTTAGTATCTGTTTAATGAGAAATTGAAGTGTTTGCCATGAGTCCCAGGCACAGAGCCTCATGGTGCAATTCTTTGCATGCTTACTCAGAAGTCCCGTTGAGTTCAGTGAGGCTTACACCCAAATAAGTGGGTATAGGATTGCAGCCTCAGTGGAGCAGGGGTGTCATTCAAAACCCAAAGCAGACTACTTGAACTCTTCCCAGTGTGTCCCAGGCCATATTCCAGAAGAAACAGCTGATGGAGAAGACATGCTATCAGCATTTGACATTAACATCTAAGCAATGCAAAACGTTGAAAAGGCACTTTAGGCATCTCTTGCAATTGCACCTTAGTTGAAAAGGTTTTCAACTAATAGCATTAGGACTGAGGCAGGCACAAACATTTCATTGAAGGAGGGATAGTCAGGATCTGATTCCATATCAGTTCTTTAGGCGTTTCCAAAAAACATTTGAAGATTTTCCATTTAAATTATGTACATTTTACACGTGTACTTTCCCTGAAATAGAAATTTATGTATTCTTCTTACTGCATTTCCCCCTCAAATACACATTTTCCCCTTAAAACACACATTTTGGATGGCAGGTAAAGCTGGTCGAATACGCTGAAATGGCTAAACTGACCCACAGAATTCGCAATCAGGAGGAGACAAAGTACCAAAAAGAATGGAGTAAATTTATGGTTTATATAAGTGAGAACTGTACAAATAGGAAAACGTTGGCAGGATTGAAGTAAATCTTATGTCATGGTGTAATTTTTAATTAAAGAAACTGTGAATTATAGATTGGAATAGGAAAACTTGTGGAAGGGAAGGACGGAAGTCAACGGCTCTATGGAGCATAACGTAGGATATATGTAATAAGACATGATGTTTTTGTTGGTTGGTGTTGGTGTTCTTAAATCTCAATAAAAATCATTTAAAAAACAACAACAACACACATTTTGGTGTGTTGTTTTTTTGAACCAAAACTGCTTTACAAACTTTGGAAAAGTGTGCAGACCAACCGATAGTTGCATTTCAATACGCATGTAAGTTTGGGAGCAGTGAATTGTTTTAAAATGCAAACCAAATAAATTTCTCCTTCATCCATAAAGCTAACTCTGATTTGGTCCTGACTTACAGTATAGACTTTTAGGACAGTTGTGATTTAATTGTTGAAGATGTTGAACTATACATATGGCATTCCAGATGCAGGTAATTACAGGGTGAAGGAATGTCCTAACAGCTGATGTTTCTACTAAACAGCCTGAAACTCTGCTATCATGCAACTGATGAGTGACCTGGTTGTCTTCCACGTTAAGAGAGTGAGCAAATTTAAATGAAAAAAAAGCATAGGAGATCGGCATACACATTTTTTTGCTGGAAAGTGAATCCATAGGGGCTTTCAGTATGTTTAGAAGATTTAGAGAGTGAAACCATGTAATATAGTGATAGGCAGATGTTTCCCATATGCTGTCAGCATGGAACTTCAATCACTCCAGGCCCAGCTTGTACAATGTTTCATGTTATAGATTTCTCTGTGAAGCCTGGCTTCAAATTAAATTGTGCACGCACATCTTCAAACACACTCTTCAAAACTGTGTGTGAGAATATATTTTTTTTGTCCTGGTTGTTCTCTTTCATTTTCCATGCTTGAGCAACTCCCTAGTCCCCAGAAATTGCATCCTAACTGGTTGTATTTCAGTTTACCTTTTTACTAATTTTATACTTTTAAAAACCAGATATTGTTTCCAGACCTCCTTTTAATTTGGTTTTCTTTAAAAAAAGAATCCAACAAATGGGGAGGGGGTAGCTAAAATGAATTGGCTTGTCTTCCTTTTCATGCTTGTTTAGCAGTAACCTTTGCAGTGGTTTAGTGCTCAATTAAATATCAATATATTTTTAAAAAAATTTAAGCAGCTTGCTTTTATGCACAAGGCCATGTTGCCTCGCTTAGCTGCATTCCACATTAGATAATGTTTTGATTTCTTGATGCAATATGTATTTTCCTTTTGTTGTGCCATATGTTTCGACACAAACACCAGTTTTCACAAAGCTCCTCCCCAGAAATCATGGGTAATAAAATGCCAATTCCATTATTACTTTATCTCTTCGCTTTGAGAGATGTTATGAAGGGAGAGACTTGCTGGCAAGAAAGACCAATACATTCTTTCATTCTCGTTTTCTCGACAGGGAACGCAATGTTGCTACGCGTATTACCCTGCTTGTATGAAAAGCAGTCGCAGCCAATTAACAGCCACCTGAAGGATCTGGTATCGCTGATGTCTCAATTGGAGCAGCCTGAACAGCAGCACCTTTTACGGCTTTTGCTTATAGTTGCAAAGAAAAAACAACCAGAGGTAACACTTATTCATTCATATTTTTCCACCTTAGTGTAGGTGGCTGTTCATTCAAGGGAGTCTGTAATTTAAATACCTTTTCAGCACAATCAAGTTTCCCATGTTATTAGGCCCTCCTCCAGAGAAGCAGACACAAAGATTCTGCTTGCCCGTTCAATGTATTTGTTAAGTTGTGGGAGAACATATCAGACGACACAGCGATTCTTCAAACAGCTCTTGTTTATTCACAGGCCAGAACAGAACTGAACTGAAGGGTTCAGCCAGCCTGCTTATATAGAGCTCCACTAGAACGCAACAGTAACCATTTTCTGTAACTATCCAATCACTGAACGTCACTTTCGACCCCTTATTTGCATATGTGGACCTGAACTATCTACAGTATCCCCCTGCTGGCCCAGGGTGAGAACTTCAGTACATAACAGTATTTCCTTTCAAGTAGTGCCCCTTGAACCCTAAACTTTCATTTAGACCTTGCTGAGTTCACGAACAGTTTAGAGATTAGGCGCAAAGAGGGGGAAGCAGGAAAATGCACTCTCTCTGGCAGAACTGCAGCTCGCTGCACACACCCTGTGACTATGTCCTCACACTGAGAGTGCTGAAATTTTGCACACTGGCGTAAACCCTCCCTCTCTCCAGGACTTCACTCCGGTGTGGTAAATACTAGGTGATGCTGCGTTTACTCAGCCTGTTCGCTGCTTGTAATTATCTGTCCAGCTGTAACACTTATTTTGTGCACCTGAGACTATGCACACAAACGTAAACAGATGGCCTTAGAATGGAGTTTGTGAACTTACAGCCCTGCAGATGTTGCTGGACTACAGTTCCAGCCATCCCTGACCATTGAGCATGCTGGCTAGGGCTGATGGGAGTCGGGATCCCACAACATCTGGAGCACCATAGGTTTCCCAGCCCTGACTTAAAGGTAAAGGTAAAGGACTCCTGACCATTAGGTCCAATCGTGGCCGATTCTGGGGTTGCAGCGCTCATCTCGCTTTATTGGCCGAGGGAGCCGGTGTACAGCTTCCGGGTCATGTGGCCAGCATGACTAAGCCGCTTCTGGCGAACCAGAGCAGCACACGGAAACACCGTTTACCTTCCCGCTGGAGCGGTACCTATTTATCTACTTGCACTTTGATGTGCTTTCAAACTGCTAGGTTGGCAGGAGCAGGGACCGAGCAATGGGAGCTCACCCCGTCGCAGGGATTCGAACCGCCGACCTTCTGATTGGCAAGTCCTAGGCTCTGTGGTTTAACCCACAGCACCACCCGCGTCCCAGCCCTGACTTAGAAGGGTATAAATAATGGGTAGGCAAACTAAGTCCCGGGGGTCAGATCCGGCCCAATCGCCTTCTAAATCCGGCCCATGGACAGTCTGGGAATCAGCGTGTTTTTACATGAATAGAATGTGTGCTTTTATTTAAAATGCATCTCTGGGTTATTTGTGGAGAATAGGAATTCGTTCATATTCCACCCCCCCCCCCATATAATCTGGTCCCCCACAAGGTCTGAGGGACAGTTGACCGGCCCCGTGCTGAAAAAGTTTGCTAACCCCTGGTATAAATGGATCCTTGCCCTGGTGGCAGAGTTGGCCATAAAGCCGTTTCTCGCTTTGAAGCCGCATAAGCCCTTGAAAAATTGAAGCAGTAAAAGCTCTTTTTTGCTTTATTAATCTGAGGAAGGGGTGTGTGTGTGTATAACATATTTATTTATGCAGAAGTATAACTAAATTTAGATGCATTTGCATAACCTCAAACAACTACATATATTTACATATGTTTATGACAATACTAATTGCATCTTTATAATGCCCATCTGCAGCATCCTGCACTGAGTCAGAGGTAGGCAGTATAATTCTACAAAAATAAAGGCTTTCCATTCATTTAGTTCTTGCAAGTCGACGAACTGCAGTAAGTATGAATTTGCAGAAGAGAGTTGGGTTCAATAAATTCTACCAAATAAACTGTCACTGGTTTCCAAAATGTTATTGGCCTGATGAGTGACGTTATCAAAATCAGTGTTAATGGAGAATTGATCCAATTAGGTCCTTCAGTGGATCAGAAGAGATTTAATGGGATGTGCGTAAAAGTATCAGAATGATCAAGATTGACTTTGTTGCCTTCCAATTTGAGGAGAAAAGGGGCATAAGGGAGTAAGCATGTCTGTCATAATCAAACCATCTTCTGATTAAAGCTTCTTAATATTTTATGAATTCCTTACTCAGTTATTGTAGTTCAATCTAAAGGTGTTTTTAAAAGGCTTCAGTAGTTTTTAGAACGAGATTACAGTGAAAATTTGCCCGAATTTGAAGAAGCAAAAAACACACACAACAGAAACATTGAATGTTTCAGATATGGTTCACAAGGATGTTTATGAGATATAGGCATTATAACAAGCTTCAAGGATACCTAGTTTGCAGAGTATAAATTTCAGCGGTCTTTGTAAAAATAAGAAAAACTGCAACAGCCAGGAATTTAATATCCACCTTTCAGTACGTACAAGGGAACCTTCTCAAAATATATAGTTGCAGAGGAAATATAACTCCTCCTATAAAAGAGACTTTCCAGCCTGATGAGGCCCATTTTAGCCTTTGTTTGGAGCCCAGGTCATGTGACACCTTTTCAACATAATCTCCATTCTCTTGTTAATGTCTGTTTGCGACACTACAGGGACTCTTTGGGATCTGCTCTGTAAAAATGTCATCTGACATTTCAAAAAAACAAAACAAAAATCCACCATCAAGCAATTTAAAATTTGAAGCAGCTGTATGGTATAGCATATAAGGAGCTGGACTTAGACAAGGGAGATCTAGATTCATTCAGAAACTAATTGGAACTTTAGGCACCTTACCATATTTTAGCCTAGCCTACTTCTCAGGGCTGCTGTGAGGATGGAATCTAACAGTTACCTCTATGTTTCAGGATCTAGCAGCAAAGGTCTTTTAAGAAAAAAGGAAGATGTTTGGACCTTTGATTTTGCAGAAGTCTTACATACAAAACCATGTTATCACATTGCCAGAATTGTGGGATGTGAAACACAAGAGCAGTCAAGTACAACATTCCTAGAGTGAACATGTTTACACATGGGGAGGAATGTTTGTCCAGCCAGTAGGTAAACTTCCTGTTTCCTTCTGGGCTGGGACAGACTTCCTCTGCATGTGACTAGAGGTGGGTGTGGCCTCACCTGTGCAGGTAACGACAAAAGCACAGGGCAGGGCAGCCATCTCTCTCTCTTTGACTACATGCATCAAAGAAGCAACATATGCTTAGACAAAGATGCTCTCTTGGCTTCCTAAGAGAGGACAGAGGGACTGTCTCCTTATGAGATAGTTTCCAGGTATATGTTACCTATCTAAGCTAAGTCTGCCTTCTGGGATCTGATTGTGAACAGAATCTGAGTAAACTCTTTTTATACTTTTATAGAAGACTGTGTCGTGTCTTATCTTTTATGAGGGAATAAGAGGAAAGTACCAGAACAATTATTATAGAGGCTTTAGTGAGCCTGAGCGAACGCATCCGCTGTGAATTTAAAAAGGGGAATGTTACTCTGCTAAATTGGGAGCTTGTTGACACAAGTTGGAAAGGCTATAATCAAACAATATATCCTCTCCTGCATCCCTGAACATTCCCACAAGAATAGTTCCATCAAGGCATTCCAAGTTTCCATACTTTGATTACATTTCTTGGGCCATCAGATGAACAGTGCTGCCCTTTTATTGCAAATATAGCCTGGTTTGCACTATCATTCTTGGCTTCAAATAATACGGTTTATTAAGACAGGAGCAAGTATCTGGACTGGGCACTCTCCTCCTCCCTCCATCATACTTCTTTTCCTGATTGGTTAACGAGCAGTCCAGAGCAATACATAACAGAGACCTCTATCTTATTCCAAGCCAGGTTCTTTGTGTTGATCCCAGAGTACAACAGGAGGAAGGGAGAAGGCAGGGAAGCTTGACTGGTGCTGATGCTTCTTCCCAGCTTCATATGCCATGATTTATGAAGCCTCAAATGATTGTCCAAGCCAGGCCAATGTGTCCTGTTTTTACAGTGGTATGATGCTTATTTCTCATATTGCCAAGGTTCTTAGTCCTTGCCCTTGTGAATCTATGTCCTTTCATTGCGGCGTATGGACTGACACTGATTTAAGCCAGCTCAGAGTCTGGCTCCTTAATTTCATTCTTTGCTCTAGGCATCAGACCTAGGTTTTTAAGGATTCCTTGGGGACCATGGGATTTTCTGTTATTCCTTCATTTACTGTGTCATCGGATAATTCCAACTTCTTTTAAATCAATAAAACTTCATACTAGTTTAAGGGGAGAAACTTGAGAATTTTCTATGTTTTTCTTCTTCTTCTTTTAAACACACCAAAGGATTTCCTTAATTATGAAATGCTACATCTATGAATGTATAACCTCAGGCAGCAGCCTACTCCATATGCCTTGTGCTGAGCTGAACTTGCAATGACTTCTTGGATAATTCTATATAAGGAGAATAATACGCAGAACGTTTTTGAAAAATTAACATTTCTATTTCCTTCTGCCTCTTTCTTTTTAGGTGCTCAAAGAATGTATCCCTGCTCTCACTGGTCACCTAAGAGATCCCCATCACAATGACCTCATCCTAAATATACTGATAGAAATATCGGACTATGAACCAGAAGTATTGACCAATTTGCTTCCAATACTGAAGGAGATTGGGGAGAGTTTCCCAAGTCTGATTGGACAAACTGCCAAGATCTATGGAGCGGTTGGACATGTTGATGAGGTATGGAAACCGTTATGTGCCAGGAATAAATTTTCATAAACTTATTACCTATAGTCTTACTGGCCAGCAGTCAGAACTTAAGGGTAAATCTGTCACCAGCTACCAAGAGAATATGGGAACTGAGAGCAAAGGCAAACTGAGTGGTGTCTACTTTGAACATATTTTAAGGAATAGTCCTCTGGCCTTCATAATGATGGGCTGGGGGATAGTTTGAGGTGATCTACTTAATAAAGCCTCTCTGGAGGAACACAGTGGACCAAAAACCCCAGTGGGATACATTTTCATGAGTTTCTCCTGAGACAGAATTCTGGGGTCATGGGCTGTTTCTGTTCAGTAACTATTTTGGGGTGGAATTCTGTCACATACCAGCGAATTCAGGTTGCACAGTGAAAGTTGATTGGAAGCCACAGCTGTCAACTTTCAGATTTGAAAATAAGGGATCAGCAGCCTCGAAAATAAGGGATCAGCAGCCTCACCTGTCCTGGGGACAGTCTACGGGATATCTAACAATCCGGGATAGCAGCGGGAAGCAGCGCTGGAATAAGGGAATTTCCCGCAAAAAAAGGGAAGGTTGACAGCTATGCTGGAGGCAAGGCTCTCTCCAATGCCTGACAAAGAGCTACTTCTCAGCAACATCGGAGGCTACCTGTATTCTTCTGCCCCCCCCCTTTCAATGGCAGTCCCCTGACAGTATGTTTCCATTCCACATCAGTATATGAGAAGTACACTGTTGTTGTGGATAAGAAATCATATTATGAGGGTTCCCCCCCTTACAGTCTGTCTCAGAGCAGATTACATTAGTTTACCTTCTGCCCTCTGACAGCAAAATGCTGTGTTGCACATTCATGTGTTGTTCTCTCGAGCATTCTAATCAAGGCACTTCAGGAAGCAGTTCTGACCCAGGGCTGACCTGCACCAAGGGAAGTGTAGAATGCTTATTGCCATACCGTGCTTTTCCTTCCACGGGTCATGTCTGAGCCACAAACAATGTTTTATGTAACACACTCAGGGGATCTATATGGTGAATGTGTGCATCTCTCCTCTAACCACACGTCGCGTCTGACTGTATAAAAATACCTTCCGTTCCTACAATTTAGCTGTTAGACCATTTAATCTGCTCCAGCACTACTCTGTCTTCCACTTAAGACAGCTGACTGTTGCAAGCATCCCTCTCTGGATATTCAAAATAAAATCCCTCTGTTGATACTGTATAGTGTTTGATAGCTGATGGCACTTTTCCAGTGGACTTGTGCGACAGATAACAACTCTAAGCCCACTTGTATTTTTGGGTTATATCCTGCCTATCTGTGTAGGGACTATAGGAAACAATTGTGCAGGTGCAAGCGCAAGTTGGGTCTCGCGAAAGACATCTACAAGGGTCTTGGCTCAGGTTCTGCAGGCTTCTGACCAGGCTCAGCATCAGCCAGAAACACGACCCAACCTCTCATGCAGTGCTAGTTCAGCCCCAGACTCAGAAGAATCCACAAAGGTGTATTTCTGGTATATCAATTAATATAAAAGGCTGCTGAATATCAATATTATTGGGCTTGGGGGGGGGAATACTTCCAGTACAAGTAACTGCTGTTTAAATGCTTAAGGAACTAGTACTATTCACATACAGCAAAATAAGACATGTGGGTAGTCTGGCTAGGAAAAGTAAAGGAAAAAGAAAATGTGGTATAGTATATTAATTTCTGAATAAACTGCATTGTATGTTAGAGGTACACTCTAAGCCTGAGCCCTTGAGAAGGGAAAGAATGAACTGCATGTTAAATACTTTGTAGTATTTATACAATAAATCTTCACTGTACTTAAGAAGGAAGAACTGTCATTTGGTGAGTTGTGCAGGGTCTTGTGGGTAAGTGGAAGTTTTAAACAAATAATATTCTGGTATTAACTTTCTGAAATTACGAAAGGTTTCTCATGACATGTGGTCTTATTTGCTCTGAAGATGTTACACCTATCGCATAGACGTTATGATACACCATGCTTTTAATGAGATTTTTTTGAATGATTCCTGTGGCCAGATATATTACAGTGCAGTGCAGTTCTAACAATGTCCACTCAGGAGTAAGTCTAGCCGAATTCAATGGGACGTACTCCCAGGTAAGCGTGGCTCCGATTGCAGCCTTAGCGCACAGTGTGCCTCATACCAGTTAAAGAGTCGGTTGAGCTGAAAGCTGCATACTGCGGCATTACAATAGCCTTGGATAAACGACTGATTTGTAGCTCTGTGACTACGCTTGATTATAGCCAGAAAATGACTGGAATGTAGTAAAGATAAACATTTTAAGAAACATAAAAACAGTGCCTACGTTACAGCAACCAGAATAGTTTATTCTGTGTTCTGAACTTTCCAGATCTTCTTAGCATTAGTTTCACTGATTTCTTACCTATCCACCCGGCCCCAAATCTAGAAATGATGGCAACTCACATAAGAAACTGGCTTTGTCTGTAACATCATGAAACTTTCCCCCAATTTTTGCTGAGGTCCCTTGCCAGCTACCATAAATTAATAGGTTTGAGCTCTTCCCCCACCCCCGCAACACAACAGTTTTTCTTGTTTTATGGATGAAACTAAAGGCAGTGTTTTCTTTTAGCTCTGAGATTGTACTTACACCCGAAACCACTGGAATAAACAATCTTCCCATGAGATCTGTATGCCTGGTGCGTACATCTGTGTGTACCAGAATGGGATGAGTGAGTTTTGAGAACCACAGGACATATTAAGTATTTTGGTAGGAAGCTATACAGTACACTCAAATTTCTAGAAATATATGAAAATCCAATCATTTCCTCTAGTAGTAAAGCGGGTGTGGCCCTGTTCCAGGCAGGAAAAAGGGTTGTAAATTAAACAATAGGCCTGTGCATGTCTACTGCCCTTTAAGTTGCACAAAATGTAGAGAGAAGTTGCACATCATATGAGGGAGGGAAGGGAGGAAAATTGAGGGGTGGAAACTAACTTGCTTGATCCCCTAATAGTGATGAATATCTTTCAACACACACACACACACACACACACACACACACACACACACACACACACTACTTCAGGGTGCTATAAGCATTTAAGTGCTCTGGCCCCTTTGATGCTCAAAAAGTCATTGGAAGGGGAGATTAATTAGTTGTAGAGGGAAAGAATGTCTTCCCATCCTAATTACCATAATAGTTCTAAAAGACTGCTTAAATTCTAATACAGTGGTACCTCGTGTTATGGACGGGATCCGTTCCGGAGGCCCGTCCGTAATGTGAACTGCCCACAACTCGAAGCGCTGCGTCTGTGCAGGCGCACAACGTGATTTAGCGCTTCTGCGCATGTGTGAGCGGCAAAACCCGGAAGTAACCCATTCCAGTACTTCCAGATTGTCATGGGACGTAACGCGAAAAGACGCAACATGAAGTGGATGCAACACGAGGTATGACTGTATGAGCAGAGCCCCTAACAGCTGCCACGGAGGGAATGAAATGGGCCTGGGAGATGTCCAACATCAGGTATAGCCATCTATTGTGCTAGGCTGTTGAATACCAGCTTTCCCTGAACCTCAACAGTGAGACTACAGATTTCCCAGTTGGTTACCCGCTACCTCCCATGATGATTACCTGGGCCCATAACTTATACATTGGTAAGGCAAACCACAGTCTACGGAAGACTGCATGTTGCAAGGTTCAGGACAATTTTTTAAGAAAAATCTTTGTGCAGCACATAGCTATGGAACTCGCTTCCCACAGGAGGCAGAGATGGCTGCCAACTTTGATGGCTTTAAAAGAGGATTAGACAAATTCCTGGAGGAGAAGGCTATCAACAGCTACAAGCCATGATGTGTGCAGTTTTCCAGAAAAAGAGGTGCCGGAACTCACCATGAATGCCTTTCTTGTTCTCTTACAATGGCAATGGCTGAGAGGTGCTGGAACTGAGTTCTGGGTAAAAAAAAGCCCTGGTAATAATAATAATAATATAGCATGAAACAAATGTGCAGCTTCATGAAAAATTTGCAAGATTTTTTGTTTTTTATGAAGCACCTCAAACTTCAAGAGGCACTGCTTTTAAGAATGGTAGTGGAGAGCCCATAATTTATTTTTAAAATATTTCCTATGAAATTAACTGCAAAAAGATTGTGACTCGAATTCCCTACTTCTTTCTCCACTGACTCTTCTATTCTTATTTTATGATCTGATACCTTTGAAACATGACCTTTTATTATTATTATTGCGATTTTGACCTAGAAGTATTGTGGGACAATATTGTTTCTCTTTTTACCTATCTTGCTTCACCCCATAATATTTCCTGGGTATCCTGTAGAATGGACTGTGATACTTTGTTCTGCAGATTGTCATGGGGTGGCTTGCTGACAGCACCTTCAAGTAATAAATCTTACTTTATGAGAATGTAGCCATTGGCAAGACTAGAAGACAGGTTGTAAGCTCCCTGATAAATGACCTGCCTTCAGACTTGAAGGCCCACTTCTGATGGCTGAACCAAGGGAGACCCTCAAGTAATTCAGTGTCACTTTATCAAGTTATTGCACGTTGTATTAAGCATTGTCTCTGGTACGGCAAGAGATAACCAGTGTAATAGGAGCACATAAAAAATAAGAAACTTAATGAAGAAAATGTGTCCTTGTGACACAGCTTTTGATGGAGGCGTCTTTCTATGAGTTTGCCATTTAAACTGTGAGGCCATGATCCAACACGGAGTTAAGTGCGCCTAGGGACATAGAAATCAATGGACTTAAGCATCCTTAGCTCCATGTTTGATTGTGCCTGGAGACTTTCACAATTCACTTTCCTGCAAGGGCTGGAATGTGATTCTATTTTCCTAGTTTTGTCTCTACTCCAGTTTAATTGGGAGAATGCTAGGAATGTGGTTTTTTCTGTATCGCTGAAAACCTACAGGGCCCCTGGTATTATAACAATGACCATTTCTCATCTAATCTTGTTTAAAGAAAAAGAAAATTTATCCTATAATGTGTTGGGTGTGTGTGTGTGTGTGTGTGTGTGTG